CTCTCCTAGGATTTTCGAACATCTAAAAATTGGTGTAATTGCCCATTTTTAACGGATTTTTACCCTAAAAAGCTCACCTAGAATTTTCGGGAGCCTTTTTTCTGGCTGAAATTTTCGAAAAGGCAAGTTTTGATCCCTATGATTTTCGGATCTTGAGACTTTCAGCTAGGAAATCCGAACAGATGAAAAATTTTTAGGGGATGAAAATATGCCTATATCTACCGTTTAAATACTAAAATACGTTTAACAATGCTATGTTTAAGTGGTTTTGAACTATATTCTCGTTGGGTGCCTCTGTAAGCTGCTGTTCGGTACAGGAAGATTGACTGGAAAGGCTTCGACATGGCTAATTTAACCAAGCATGTCATTGACAAATGGGAGGTTTAATTTTAGACGTCGATGTTCTCCTTGTCTCAAAGACACTAGCAGGTAATCCAGTCAACCTAACAGACCAATCACTAGACAAAGGCTTTTTAGTGATAAATATATTATCATCTGGCTTCAGTCAAAAGAAAAATTGAACAATCTCTTAGTTCATTCCCTTGTCAATCTAGAGAAAAATGGATCCGGACTTGAAACTAAGGCTGAGCCGATTGCAAAGCGTAGGTGTACGAAAACAAATTAAGCAATTGCTAAAATTACTCTCGATACACAGGCACCTTACCATAACATCATTGATGACGTAGATGCGCCTACCAGTAAATAGATTCTTAACGGATTTAGCCACTCGCTCGTACAGTTCGACGCCATTGTTTTGCAGCGTTGCTAAGGAAACACAACGCGGATTTTTCAAAAAACCAAGCAAAACACACGTACGCATCATTTCGCTATACTTGCAGATTAAAATGATTTCAAAAGAGCATGATAGGCAGTAGAAATAGCTCAAAACCTCAAAACCACGGCAATTTCGAAAAAGATAAAAAATTGGAAGAAAGCTATTTTGCATGTTAAAGGAAAAGAAGCTTTATGCAAATCAAGGTAGAGCAAAAAATCCTATTCTTTCAAAACAGGGATCTTTTTTGCATGAGCATGCGCGACCGCTGACTTGTCAAAGAGGACGCGACCAGTGACCGCGACCGTGCTGCATAGTCATAGGAACCAAATTGTTCACTTTGAAAGCTTGCTTGAGATTGAAATGGTAGCAGGAACTTTAGAAAGACCTTCGTTGTACAAAATAAGTAAAGATCTGTTGATTTAAAGTGGAGACTGATGCGCTGAACGAGGTGGAAGAGCAAGTTTTTCAAGGATGTCTGACACGAACATGGCTGCTTGTTGTGGTTTGGCGCTCGACTCGTGTCTTGATTCCCCTTTAAGAACCGCAAAGTTTGGCATAGAATGCATTGCTGATGCGTAGCTATTGAGCAAAATGTTCTTTATTTAGTGTTTGTCTATAAATCGGATGTAAATCAGTTTCTCGATGCCGTAGAGGATTTCTGTCAATAATTTGTTGATAGCCGATTTAGACATATTTCGGGAGTGGATTAATAAAGATCAGCGGGCGACTACCACGCCGTTTTCAGTTGGAATAGAAAGTTTTTGCCTTAAGTATTTTAGCGGTACAAAGTTTGTTTATAGGAAAATTGTAGAACTTCTTGTTTTTGCGTGGACTAACATTGTAACGCATCTTTTACAGGAATTTGCTTTTAGCCAGAACTTAAATGTTCTAATGATTTTTAACTTTTGGTCGGCATCACATGTTTACTGTATTTCCTGGGAAACCTAACCGTTTGTTTCATCAAAATTGGTCGCAAGTAATATCGGTCCTATTGAATGCAGTTTTGACTGTGTCTGATTGATATTCATTTTTTTTATTGTTCGAGACATACAGAGTGACTACCACCAACATCTCACCAGGTGACTAATCTACGTCTCGTGTGCTCTTAATTTTGTAGCTTTAAAGTGCTGGGAAAATTGTAGAACATATATTAATTCACTGCTGAACTGAACATCGGCTTTCGCGCACTTCGAACCCACTCGCTGAAATTTGCTATGTTTTTTTTTAAATATTTCTCTTCCTTTCCCATTTCAAAACAAAGAAAATTGAAAGTGTTTACTTGCATCAACAAACGTTTCTGCACTTTGTTTAGACTTTGATGAGGTCAGCGCAATCCTCCAGGCACTACATATACGCGCGCTGTTGTCCAGGTCAAGTGGGGAGATGAAAATTGATAGTAGCTCGTGAATGTTAAAGCCGGTCTACTTCGCTTTTGTTAAGACCATGTTAGAGTATTTTTTGCAAACTACACATTTTGTTAAATCACGAGCACATTCGCCAAGACCAACGAGCAAAAATAATCGCTATGATAGCTTTGAGACGCGCCATTTTGATGAAGGCAAACCCTGTGGTGAGCCTCCATGCACATCGCTTGTTCAGCGGTCGCGCATGCTCATGCAAAAAAGACCCCTGTTCTCTTTCAATAACTTAAACAAATTACAGGGAAAGAAGTATTCTTATTATAATTTAGCGACATTTCTCCGAGGTTCACAGCGATTAATACTATCACTATTCTGATATATTCATGCACGCAATCTCTATTCCAAAAACAAACGACTAAGGAATCATTCTGATCGATGAATCAGCTCATTATGTGATTTTCAACGACCGATTAGAATAGAGGGAAATTGTCAAAGTTCTTTTATATGATTTATCTTTCGACCCACCTCCTCCCCCACGAATTTATATACAAATCAAAGCAGCCTATTTCATCAGTGGCTTGTCGAGTAAAACTATTTAACTCGTTGAAGTCCCTTTGAAGCGTCGTGGACCAACGGTTGTCCATGTTCAAGATCAACTGCCATATTGGATTGTGCGGACGCTTGTGAACACAGGGAAATTCGCGGCTTAAGAACTCTAAATATAGACTGAAATTCTAACTGGCTCAAACACTTGTTAGAAGCTGGTTAACGATACCGGATAATCATGTGATTGTCGTAAGCTTGTCATAAATACAGTAGCCTCCCACGCAGGCGTTTTTAGGGGAGCTCGTTTTTCATCCCTCCCCACAAACGCCTGCTCAACCGAAGACAACATTCCTTTCCCATGTTTAGCCAATCGTAAAATTCCTAAAATAAGCCCCGGGGCTTCTATTTTTCAAAGGCTCTTTTTGAGGGGCTTATCTACGGAGGGAAATTTGTATTTCAAACTCTATTGAGCTAGCCTTATAGTTGGAAGTGCATTTTCCGTTTTGGCTTTGTTTTACTTTGTATTTCAGGGCAATTTTTCAAGTACAAGCTCCCGGGGAGCTAATATATTTGGAGGGGCGATTTAACGGGGAGTTTTTTGTGTTACCGGTTTGGGGGGCTTATAATTGGAGGGGCTTATACATGAAGGGACTTATTTACGCAATATTGTGGGCAACAACTCCTAGCTTTGTTGGATGTTACATGTTGTGTCCGTCTGCAGACGCTGTTGCATGTTGTTGTGTGTTGTTGGGAGTTGTTAGGCAAAGTTTTGAAACTGGTCAAACCTTTAGCTACGTGCAAACGGACGCAACAACTCCCAACATGGTTGGGTCAGCAACGTTGGGATCGATTTGCTGTGGCTTTAAACCATACGACGGTCACGGTCTAGAAGAACGCGTTGAGAACAAAGGAATATAAAGGTTTGAAAGCAAAAAGCAACCATTGGAGCTCATTGGCAAATGTATAATAAGAAGACTGTGTTAAAATCACAATTTCGTCATCCATTGTCAAGATTTAGCCCACATGCACCACAAGATAATTTTGCTTACGTTAGAGTACAGTTAACCCAGGTGCTAGTCTGCTGCACAGCCGTTTTTACTGTCGTCACGCTCCCAGCACCACAGGAGGAGGAGCGTTGCCTAACACTACAAACGGCTGTGTAGTAGACTACCAGAGTGCCAGAGGTTTTTTATCAAATCCTTGGGTACGGTTTATTCGGGGATTCTACGTTTCTGGGAAACTACCCACCTACCCCTCCCTTAAGCCAACATTAACACTTACTTCTCACTTAGGGCAAAATGTTGCCTTAGCGGAGGGGTAGGTGGACAGTTCATGATCTGTTTTTTTCATCCCAGGTCTTTCGAGAACGGACATCTGGAGGTAGGTTAGAGTACAGGGGGCAAAACTGTCATGAACATGAGCGAAGGGACTCAGACACCCTGAGAAGGATACATGAAATCAGTAGTTTTTGTCAAAAGCAGCTTTAATCTTCTCCGAAGACTTTCCTATAACAGTGAAATCCATAGGGAAATCGCCGACCTCATACAGAGCTTACACCCCAGCGAGGGTCCTTTTTAACGACCGCTTGTGAAGTATTAGGGGTCTTTAGCATCGACGACGGCAACGGCAGCGAAAACGTCTCACTTTTAAAACAAATTCCCGTTTTTTCAAGCTTTGTCGCGTTTATTCCAATTTTCTGAAAATGGCAAATGTAGGCGAATTTCCCTGAAGTTGATTTCTTGAGGAGCGCACTCTGAGTTTAGAGAGAGAAAAAGAAATTCATCGTCGCTTGTTTACGTCCTCCATAAAACTTGCAATTAGGCATTTTCACGTCGTAGTCGTGCAAGGACGATAAAGAAATGTACGTACTAAAAAGTGTGATGCACGTGCAAGGTTGTTGTTTTGCGTAATAAACCTATTGTTTCTTTGACGTCCTCGTTCCCGTCCCCGTCGTCGTTGCTAAAGCTCACACGGAAGTCGTCATTGATATTTCGGTCATCATACGACATGTTAATTTGCCACGGAATTTAGATGAAAAATAACAAAGAAAGGCGCCAGTCTTCCGTGCTTGAGTAACCTTAAAAATCTCCAGTTTCCTTTAATGTTTTTTTATGGGTCGTTGCCGTCTATTTAGACACAAAATATGTTTCTAAACGTTTGGGTTTTTTTCCGAAATTTCTACATCGCGGAAAAATAATGCAAAAACAGGACGTGATGCTGCAAATGTAAACTTTGTTTTGTTCTTATAAAAACAAAAGGCAAATATCGCGCTGCTAAGTAATAGCCTTTAATTTCCCTTTTTATTTAAAGTGCTGGACATCGTAAATACATTCATAACACCTGATGTTTTATGATCTAACGCTGGGAAGCCGATAACCTTGGGTAGCCGATATGAAGGAACTAAAAAGTGTGGTATGTATTTGAACGGAGTTATTTACATCAGGCTGATTTTTCTTTGCATTGCGCTGAGAAAAACCTTGCTTTCACAGGGTTATAGTTTTGCTTGCCTGCGTTGTTTTAATATGTTTTGCAAGCGTATATTCTGATAAGCAGTAAGCAAATAAGGTTCGCCAAGTCGTGTACGAATGGCATTTTTCATGGTTTTCCATGGCTTCGGGAGAATCATTTTTCCTTGTGGGATGTTTTTATCTGAATTTTACAAAACTAAGCTATTCTCAGTTTAACGACAATCAATTTGAGAAGTGACTCTAAAACTTGTTTTCAAAATAATAAATGTTAGCATGGACCTCACACATCAAACTAGGGCCATTGATGGACAAACAATTACTAGTTTTAAGCGACATTTGATGGGGATCGATGAAAGCAACTGACCTAAGTAATTTAAGGATAAAATAGGATATAAAACACAAGCTGCTTTCTCACGCAGTGGACTGGAAATTTTATGAATTTGCCGCTTGGTTTGTTTTCGTTTTCTATATTTTTTTAAAGAGCTGAGCCAATATGCATTAAGACTGTGTCATGGTGCTATGAGCGATTAAGTGACGTAGCACACTTAGAAACAACCTTTTCACGGAAATGACAAAGCTAAACAGTTTTGTCACTCATTTTGGCTCAATATCAGCTTGTCGTTAAATCCAAAATCCGTGTACTCATAACTGAAACCATGACATATACAGAGGGGCTATTGTAAATGTCATGAAATGTGTAAACCTTTTAATTTAAATGGTTTTGACCTGCCGACATTTTAAGACATTTTCGGAATATTGGTTCAGAAGAAAGGTAAAAGAAACTTTTGGGAAAGGCAAAAATAAAATAAATTCCGCTTACAAGGTAAATCATGTACTCATATAGTATGGTGGTCAACATTTTTCGTCAATACACAGACTCACAGAGGCGTAGCCAGCTTTTTGACTAGTTGAAGGCCTGGCTGACTTTCATTTCCGCATATCCTAAAATTGCACGCATACTGACCTCAACGCACAATTTATTACGAGCAGTAGAGTAATCAATTAAAAATCTGTAGGCCCGGGCCTACAGGGCTATGGGCTGATACTTGTAATGGACGATATATAATTTTTAGCTTGGAGTGAACACCAGCTACAAGTCTATGTGGGATCGAAGATAAGAGTGAGTGAAACGGTCACTCTTACGATGAAATATTCAGTTGACAAAAATAGCTTTGTGTACCTTGGGTATCAGAGTTTTCTTTTTTTTAATTCCCGGTGGTTCTAGACAAAGCTGTGAGTGTGAGAGGCAAAGCTAAGACAGCGAGGCGCAAAGCTCATAGCACGGTTTATTTCATCCTTGATCTTTTGGGAACGGACCTCTGTTGAGGGTCACGGTTTGAACTGTTTAACAAAACCAAATAGAGTTTGTTATAGAAAAACTTACGTCTCCATATAATTTATACGAGACATAAGCTACTGGGTGTACCTTTAATATAGCAAGGCATCGTCCAGAAAAAAAATTGACTGTGGCTTAAAACTCTTGCAGAAAAATCTCAACGACTTGTTGAAAAACAGTGGCGACAAGCTAGTGGTGATTGACTTCTTCGCCGATTGGTGCGGTCCTTGTCGCATAATGGGACCAAAATTTGAGGTAAGTGTCTCCGATAAATATTCTATGCAGTGCCCAGGACCCTTAGACATTAAGTCGGTGGCCATGAAATATCTCTGTCATAGCTTAAAGTTCAAGTAGTTCAACCTGAATAAAGTGACGCTATACCCCTTAGCAAGCACTCTCTCTAGCTGTTACGCGTTTAATTTGTCAAGGAACAGGAAGTCGTTGATCGTAATTACGTTTTATTCAATACTAGTTATTGGTTTTAATTTTGTCGTATTTCCGCCATTGTGCTAAAATTTCCGGGAATTACGGTCGAAACAAAAATGGAACACTTCGGCTCGGGTAGAACATAACCACAGAAGTGGTCTAACCACACACTTGGCCCTCTTTGACGGCCGTTCCGCCCGGGGGGGGTACTCGCAGAAAAATTGGGTAGGGGTGTGCGGCCCGCTTCCCAAAACCCTTACCCTATTTATGACCAAAATCTGCGATTTTCCCTACCCTATTTATGACCTAACCAAAAATTTGATACCCTATTTTGTGAAGGGCTTTTTTTGCTTGTATTTTCTAGCCTACAAAGCACCCGGTGGAGAGGAAGGCAAAGCGCGGATGGAAGGAGGGGGACATGATAAGGAAGTAGCTTCTTCTAAAAAAGTGCATTCAAGACTACAGTGCAAAAATCGTTACCCTATTTATGACCAAAATGGCGGCAAAATAGCCAAAATCGATACCCAATTTATGACCAAAACGGCTGAAAAACCCTACCCTTTGGGGCCGCACATACCTATATAGCCCATATTAGGGAGTATCCCCCCCGGGCCGTTCCGGTCCGAGCCGACCGAGCGAGACTTGCCATTCCTTTTCACTAAAGTTCTGATGTCAAGTCACTGAGAAGTAAACAAACTACCGTCTTACTTGAACGCCTAGGATTTGTTAAAAATACTAAAGGTTTCGATTCAAACAATGTAAAATTAAAATTTGTAGAGAGCTATATATACTGGGATTTTTTTTGCTTCGATTTATACCTTCATCGGCCGAAACTGCTTTTTGACATAAACAATATAATATAACTCTGGCAATTTCCGTGTGACACCGCAAAATTTATTAGTGCAGCTACTTTAGTCGAAGTAGTGGTAGTAATTACTTAAAATAATGGAAGTATGGCATTCTGTTATTTAATTAATTTATTTTTCTTCAGAAAATGGCCTCAGAGTATCCGGATGTAGTTTTTGCCAAAGTGAACATTCAAAAGGCCAAGGTACGTAATTATAAATATCTAACAAGCCTTAAAAATGAGACTAAATATCCATACAAGGCAAAAGTAGCTCACATTAGGCTGTCTTAATGTTTGTTCGATGTTCTTGTGTAATTGATGTAGTTGTTCTCGAAGATTTTGGCTAGATTTCATACAGTTACTGGCTGAACATCGATGTTATAAACATCAGGACACGGTTTGTAGCTTTCGCAACCGAGCGTATAGATTAAACCGCATAAAAAGATTTCCTCTTGATATTATTTTGCGGTTTAGTTTCCAACGCAAAACGCTCTCAAAGCTACGGTTGCCATTGGCGTTTGTAATCGAGCTCGAGTAAGCGGTAAAAAAGCATTTTTTCCCGTTACGCCTGCCATGGTATTTCGAAACTCGTGCATGCTTGTCTTTAGCCTGTTCCAGGCGTTCAGATAGTGGGGAGCGGTGCGAAGTAGTAAAAAGGAGCGCGAAAAAATAAAAGCGAGGGAGGGGGAGAGGTGAGAGAGGGAACGCCTGTTAGATTTGTTTTAAATAGACTCATCCGCCCACTCAGACCGCATCAGCTGTAGGTGGTCTTCACTTGTCAATCAAGACTGATGTTACAGCGCCATACATTTATTAAGACGCTCCATGCACTGTTGACAAAAACTGTCAAAATCAACCAATCAGAGGGTATACCAGGATCTGGTATACCGGAACGCACTTTTGTTAAAAATTCTTACAAGCGTTCCCGCACCTCTCTCCCCAGTCCCCCTCTACTTTTCATCGCTTCTTTACTTCGCACCGCTCTCCACTATCTGAACGCTTGGAACAGGCTAGCATGTCTTGAAAAAGCCGATTCTCCAGTCTCGGGCAATCTAGATAACAATGTCACATCCACTCTCTCGAGTGGCCATTTTTAATAGGTTTCACAACGTCGATCAATAAATGTGATGTCACTTCAGTAAATTTTCAGAAGATTTCTTTCGATACATATTTAAAAAACCCTTTTTGTCCAAACGGACAATATTCTTGTTCGGTCTTCATCGTTTTAGTCTTAGATGGCAGACAGAGCATTCCTCTTCAAAAGATCGCGCGTAGGTTATAGATTTTGGCCCGTGGAAAGCAGGAAAGTAAGTTTCATCAGCGCTTTTTGACCCATTTGATCCCTTTGTTTTCAAAATAAGCTTTCGTAGCCCAATGGCGTCGCTTATCATAAATAATTAATTATTTCATTCGCATTATTTCCTTGCAAGATTTGTTAAAGATTATAATTTGGGGTACGGCGAAAGATCAGCTAATTTTAAAGACCTACAACAAAGAGAAATTTAGTAGTGAATTGTGTAGGCAGGATTCCATTCCACAACTCAAGTCTACTATTCTGGGCATTTCAAGGAGACTGGAAACCAGTTTCTTTACAAACCTTTTTCTGGCCTGCGGGACTGAGATTATTGTATGGCTTTCTTTCTAATCTGTCGGTGGAATCCCATGTATTATAATAACCAAGATAACTAAAGCCCAGGAAGACTCAGAGACAATAGACTGGCCCAGTCTTTCTAAGGGTTTTGGAGGTAAGGGGGAATCGCAATTGTATCATAATTTTCACAGATAATATCCATGACATTACACATATCTTATGGTGCTTAGAACACAAGATCGGGAGGAATTTTTACACTAGCTCAGAATTGCGGAACCTCTATCATGTGTTCAATGGGGTTGTCAGCGCAATGAATGAAAAGGGTGGACTGTTATGGCATAAAAATCACATTAACTCATAAAAGGTAACAGACATGACGATAGTGATTTACTTTTAAAGAATTTCGTCTAATTAGTTAATGTTGTTCTTAAATCTCAACCATTTGCATTCATTGCAGGACCTTGTAGAACAGTATGCCATATCATCCATCCCACATTTCAAGTTTTTCAAAAATAGAAAGGTAACTATTTGATCTCTGTTAGGGACAGTAAATCTAGGGCAGTAAAATCAAAACAAAGCAACCATGCAGCTGTCTGAAATATCACATTCACATATAAGGGCGTTCAACTTACTACCTCTGACTGTACGCTGCGCAAAATTAATTCTGGAAAGGCTTACACTGTGTTGAGAAGTATCTTTGAAAAGACCCGGGTGGACTCGCGCTTTCCAGACATGGTCTGTGATTGGAGAGCGAAGCAATGGATGATTCAACACAAACAATACCCTTAGCTCTAAAAACAAAAGAAGCTACTGCTTATTTCGGGCGACGAAAATAGGGGTCTGGAAGAGCCACTGTACTACGCGGACTTGAGGAAAGTGTTAAGACAAAAATAGTTCATTTCGATTCCCTGTTTAAGACCAGAGATCTTACCCAAGACCCTCATTCATTTCGCATAGTATACAGAATTAAGTATTCAAAAAAACTGACATACATTGTAATGGAATTCGATCTCTTTTTTTCTCAGAATAAAGACAAATTGGCAACACACAAAATGTAGACCTTTTATAGCCAACCTTCACCCTCTTTGAAAGGCTTCTGATCCAAAAAGACACTTTATTCTAGACAGTAAATAGTGAAATTGTACACCCCCCCCCTGAAAACAGTGGTACATATTTAGGTTTCTGGGAAACTTCCCACCCACCCCTCCCCTAAGCCAACATTTTGCCCTAAATGAGAAGTAAATGTTAATGTTGGCTTAAGGGAGGGGTAGGTGGACAGTTTCCCAGAAACCTAAATTGATGCCATAAGCAAATGCCCCCCCTCCCCCCCGGGGGGGGGGACACATAGATACAGCAATAATAAGATATCTGTATTTGTATTAATGCTGAACAAGGCCAAACCACAGGAATCAGAAGAATGTTATTGGTTCTTTAACAAGTGTGGGAAACAACACCAATCAGGCTATCAAATAAATAGAGACAAGGTCAGCCATGCATGCATTCACAACAAGCATGCAAGATTTCTCCCTTGTTTTCATTGGAGGCACTTATTGGTGGTCTGGCGCAAGCCATAAATCATGACAGTTTTATGTTTTTATGACAGTTTTATGCGTCAGACAAAAGTTGACTGCTAACAGAAGGAAATTTAAGCTATTCAATAGCAGTCTTAACCCACTGGAAAAAAAATTGCAAAAACGTCGCTGCATTTATTATAACAACAAACAAACAAACAAACAGAGTACACAGCAAGAAAATCTGATACCAGTTTCTTAATTTTGCAGCGATACTTTGTGATACTGCTGTGAATGCTCCCTTCTAATTCCATTTACAATTTTAATTTTAGGTCGTGGATGACGTCAGAGGGGCCGACGAGGAAAAACTTAAAGAAAAAATTAACAAATGGAAGGATGCCATCATGTCAGAAAAATAGGGTCTCGGGGAATAAAAATAGAGTTATTAGACCGACCACTTAATTTAAAATACCTCATTAAATATACTTTACTTCTGCACCTGTGTGGTACGAGTGTCTCTCGAAAAACAACACACTTGCACGGAACTGAGACATGGTAAAAAACTGAGTTACCTGCAATAGCACAACTCGCAAATGATGACTAATTTGTAAAGTTTGTCTGACTTCTCATTTTTGTCATTAGTCGAGCTGGCTTTCTTTTTGTTTCCGTGTGTGCGCGCCAAAAGGGAAGTAATGGTCCCAAGCGTTCCTAGCGGAGACCGTGGAAACTGGGGATAAGCATCGTGACGTGAGTGATAGCCTACTACAACGCTGGCTACGTGTGACTGACAACACCTTAAAATTTTTCAGAGGTCCATATTTTTTTGTGAAGAAAGCTTGAGGAAAATTAATGAGAAAGATGTCGAGCTTTTCCGGAACGGGTCGGCCCACGAAAGCGTTGATTACTTCGAAACGAAAAAATACTTCCGTCGTCGAAAAAAGGAGAATCTTTATGAGCAAAACTTCGATGGGGAGGCAAACCGGTCTGGTGTTGTAAACTTTCATTGTATGCAAACGAGTTGTGCTGAGCATGCAGTTTATTTTCGGCGATGATTGAAAAGACGCACCACGTTCATCGCGTTTCTGTTCTTTTGCTCTCGAATCGAGGCCCTTGATTTTCGTGTATTTACACACGCGTACTAAATCAATTCAGAAACAAACCGTCGAATACGATAAAGTAGGATAAAGTAGGACGTGAAAAACTTTTAGCGAGGAAATCCTGTTTCGTGCACAGGTGGCCCAAGATTATAAGAGCTTTCTAGTTTTAATGACAAGGGTCAGACAAACATAGTGAAAACAGACAAACAAAAGTGAGCAATTCGTTAATATTAATTTCAATTTGTTTGTCTAAGGTTCAGTTCAAAACTAGTAACTGTGCGTAGCGCTACGCGTGATCAAGTGGTTAACGTTAACATGAGTAAAAAAATGAATCAAACATTGACCATTTTAAGGATGCAATTGAGACTAGGGCGGTGTCTATTCCTCAATGGGACTATTTTGGAAGAAGATTTTTGACACAGTTTCTTGAACAACCCAGTAAAAGAGGAGATTAATTTTTGGATTTCTTAGTGTGGGAGTAAGGTGTACCGCCCGTTTCCACAAATCCTGACCCTGTTTCAGATCAAAACATGCCGTTTCCACACCCGTTTTCAGATTTCAAGCGTTTACAATCCATACCCGCTTTTAGACTTGGCTTTTGAAAGTTGAACTCGGTTTGCCGGCACATTATTTTGTCAGAGTGTAATCAACCTCCTGTTTAAGCATGTTCTACTATTTAGTATTATTTGGCACGTTATGAATAGCGATAGTTTCAGCTATCTCACGACGCGAAACTGGCGTTTTTTGTTTTTTTTTAACAAAAACACCAGAATTGCTTCCAAGCGATAGTTACTAACTATGGTCCAGACAACCAGGGCGAGCAACCATCTCACGTCGTCCCCCAGAGAGCCTTAGGCGCCTATTAAAATGGCAAACTGCCTGCAGAAACGGTCCTTTTGGGATCTTACAGCATTTTGAGCTATATATACTGTAAGAGTGGAGGAAAGCGAAGCTTTCCGAGTGAGGCACCAAGTGCCGAGAAGAAAAAGAGACCAGTTGTCTCCTTATTATATCTTAGCTGCTGTTATTCGTCCACAGTCATTACCTTAAGCGGTTTTCCGGAGCATTGGCTAATATTTTACCAGGTTTGTAAGAAGATCGCATGACGGTTTGTCCGATTCCACAGTATAAAAACAAAGGCGATGCAAGGTATTAACTGTAAAATTTAACGACAATCGACAATCAAGGTCACAAATAACTCCTCTGTGCCTTGTGCCGTAGTACGCAACGAAGTTGCGAAGACGTTTTTGCTAAATTTAAATCTGCACTTTAGCGATTGGAATGAAAAAAGATCACTCCTAAAAAGTTTTTGCAACACAGATCGCCTTTCTAGACTGTTTCTCTAAAAATATTATTTACTTATTTACTCAATCTGTTCATCTTGAGTAAAAGTTACTTACCAATACGTTCACTTCAATGTCCATTCTGAAATTTCTGTTTCCCAATACTACACTAAATCCTAAGACTTCAGTCGCCTTTTTAAGCTCCTGACAAGAGAGAGGGACGGGCAATGTCAAGGATTTAAAGTCATTTATAGTACGTATATTATTTTGGATTGTGGTGTTACCAGGGTTACAGTAAGGCATTTGGCGATAACAAGTTACCATGGGTAACGCGCACGTGTACTCAACCTTCACCCCTACGAACCACTCTGAATCAAAAAACAGTTCTTACCTGGAATACACTCCATTGACTTCCCTGTCACTGTTCAGATGGCCACTAGGTTGCGGTTATAGGTGTCGCCCTAGTGATACATGTTTCTGTCAGACTCAAAAGGGTGTCATATAGGCTCATACAGAACTTCACGGTAATTGACAATTCTGGTCTCTGGGCTGTGGGTGTTCTGCTGGATTTCTAAGGTAAAAAGAGGAGGATAAACTCAACAACGATAACAGTGACTGCTTACTGAGAGAAATAATTAAGGACAGTGATAATAGGGCCATTTATACGAGGAAAAATAAGACGCGTCTTACATAAGACGCGTCTTAAATAAGACGCGAACTTTGCGTATAAACAGCACATTTCGTCTAAAATAAGACGCGGCTTGGCTAAGACGCGTCTTATTAGATAAGACATGCTCGTATAAATGGTACAGTTCGCGTCTTATTTAAGACGAGTCTTATTTTTGCTCGTATAAATGGCCCTAGTGACTGCTTACTGAAAGAAATAACTAAGGACAGTGATAATGATGACGACGAGAGGGCAATCACGTAAACATATGTGACAGCAGGGAGCTTACGAAATGATGACAGTTTAAGTAGCGCAGGATTGGAACATCGGGTTACTGTGCGGTCTTCTGTGCGAAAGGTCCCGAGTTCGGTTTCCAGCTGTTAAAACAAATCCTTGTTTCGACGTAAAAAGAGAGATGAGAAGAATGAGGTAAAATGAGTCCAACGTTGAGAGAAGATAACGAGCTTCCAAGGTACTTGTACCCTTTTTTTGAAAAAGAAAGGTTTAACGAATCAAAGAAACACTTGTCAGTATTCTTGGCTTGCAAACACGTGACAAGGCGGTCATATTGGACGACAAAAGTAAAGTGTGAGGAAAATTATATTTCGATTTCCAGAAATTTCTGTCGAATCATAAAGGAAACGTTTCGGTCCAAGGAGAAATTTTCCAGAAAAAGTGGCCCACCGCTGTCTGGTCTCACTGAAACATGTAATTGTTAACATTCATCTCCAGGATTTGAAATTCACCAATCAAGAGAAACTCCAATATGGCCGCCGTGCAGTTATTGTCAACAATAGCTACGTTCAATATATTAAAATTCTAACTTGACCCCAAGGCCTTAGGGACAAAATTGCAAATTTTTCACGACTACATTGTCTCGCAATGCCCAGAAGAGACTTGAGCACAGAGAAAAACAACCCACATATAGAAAGCCAAGGATTCATGTTAGAATATATTGAACATGGACTATTCATCCCCATGAGGTTTTATAATGTAGAAAATTACAAAAAGCTTTTACTATTCAGGGTGAATTCAATTATAAATCACCTTTTTATCTTACCTTTACACAACAAACGAATGTTTTGCTGGAAGACGTTTAACCCAGCGTCTTGGCTACCGCAGCGGGCCATTTGCTGCTTGTTTTGTTACCGTTTTCGGTTGTCATCTTCGCAAACAAGTCGTCCCATTGTTGCTCTTTACTGCCTGCTGTGATAAGGAAATGTGGCCGCTGGCTTTCGGAAACTTCCAAAGTAGCGTACGGTTCTCGAAGAAAAAAGGTACAGGAAGCACTTGATTCCCGCTATGTTCGACTTCTTGGAAAACAAGCTTAAACAGCCACAACGACGACGGTCAGGAGAATAGTTTCCATAGGCGAAAAAGAAAAACAAGTACAACAACAACAATTCTGCACGTGTATCACGCTTTTTGGTACATTTCGTTACTGCGCGACCTGTGCAAGACGACCAATAGCCTCGTTTGTGAACAATAGATTTGGCATCTGCATATTTTGTGCATGGGTTTAGACCTATTTGGCCAACTCAATGTTGTACCCAATTCAAATCTCCCGGGGTTAAGATTCTTTGTGTATTGTATTTCCATTATAATGTGGCATTCACATTTAAATGATACGGAAATTCCTCAAACAAAACGTTATATTCCCAAAGGGTTTGAATTGGGTGCAGCATAGCTATTATTTTCATCTCTACCGCATTGGAAATGTCATTTTTGTATCACGTCTCTAATGAACAATTCAAAACTGCGGTTCACAAAACTCCCGCCGAAAACATTGCTTGGTCCCGAAAAACCATTATCATTGCACAAAGTTCATTAGCACAAATGCAGCTTTTTAAAAAAATTCAAATGGAAAAATAGAAAAACTCAGTTTAAAAGAAAGTGTTGGCCTACCATGCACAAATCTCCCAAGGCTCGTTAAAAAATGGATGGAAAAAAAAAATGCTTGAATTGCTTTCATGACCCAGGTTTCTGGCGCGGTTAAGCTAGGCCTTGACGCCAATAAGGCTATTTGCATGATGACGTCTATTTTGACTCCACTACACAACATCAACGGACAAAACGTAATGGCAAATAAGTTTATTTTGGGACGGCTTGGCGAGAACCAACCCTACAAAGTACTTATGTAAATACAATAATGGGTCAATAAAAGGTGATTACTGGTGAATACCTAATGTACAACACTAGTAAACTAGCTTTCACAAAAAGAAAAAACTCGTGCTACAAATGGTCGCTCTTGACCTGAATCCCCCAGTTAAGCACGCAGGCTTAGTGCCAGTTAGGCTGCCAGTTATTCTGGGGAAACTAATTAATAAAACTCTGACAACATATAGCTGGCACAGGGAACACGGTAGGAGCAC